ACTGTAAAAGGACATTTCCTGCAGCATTGTGCATGGGGGGCTCCTTGAAAGAAATTATGAATTTAATACTTGGGCACGGTATTTGCAGTCATCATTTTACCTGTAATTGTGAATATGATTGATTCCTTATGAACTGTAAAAAATTGCTTTCTTTTCATTCAGCAGAAGCTTTAGCAATTTAGCTTTATATATCCCCTGCAGGTGGATTTAGATAAGCATACACTCACTTTCATAGTCATAAAGGAACTGGAACTTGCAGTCCACGACACAAGATTCTCCTAAGAATAAATAGCTTTTGATAGTTGGGAGAAAGTAAAAGTTGGAATTGGATATATAGATCAACCCTGCTTTAGCTAGAAGGTTTGTAGCTTTATTTCCTATGGCTCCTCTATCTTGGAGACTGTAAATTTATTTTCTAATTAGAAACTGCTCCCTGGAATACCAACATTATGTCTTCTTCCTTGTCAGGCAGCATTCAAAAGCTAATAATGATGGATTCTTCACATGACATGGACACATGGTGAAATTATGTAAAGATGCTGAACAAGATTTGCCAAACAAAAATGTCGAAACATCATTTATTGTTGCTGATGAAGAGTTTTTACCTGTGAAAGAATGGTAATTTTGCTGTCCTCATTGATGCATGTACTGTTGATTAGTAAGATATGTGCTATGATAAAAAATTATTCATTTAGAATATGTGCTATGGATATCTAGTTCTTTGGATCTGGTTATTAGCAGCTTGGGACTTCATTGGACAATTTATCGTCCTGGATCCATGATACAGGTTTTTGCTTCTCCATTGTTGCTATTAATTTGATCATTTCCTGCTTGCAACGCCTTCGAGTTTCACTAGGTTATATACCTTTCTGGATCTAGTTCTTTGTCAGTGATTTTGTGAAATGAAATGTACTTCCCATTAGTAGTCATCGGTGATTCTTACATAATATTCTTTCATGGCAGAGTAGATTGGCTTTGAAGCCTGATGGCCTATTTTTGGCAGCTATTCTCAGTGGTGAAACATTAAAGTTGTATCTTCATATCTTTGTGAAGCTTTTATAGTTCTTATAACTGAATGAAAGGCCCAATTATTTAAAAATATCCTTCTGTTATCCATATATCCCCTGGCACAAGTATCTTCTTAAACTATGTTGCATGCCATGAACCTCAATTTCCTGAAAATTTAGAACTATTTGGTCTTTGTCAATCTGTTACAAGTGGGCTGATAAATATTTGAGAAGCAAAAGCATGAGAAGGTGCCCTGGCACATGATAGATCTTAATCAAATTATCCAATGTCTTCTGTTCCCAGTTACAGTCATCTTTTGCTAGAATCTTTAAACTTCAAAAAGAACAAAAATTTTGCTTTATTTCCTCCTAATTCAAAGATCAAGACTGGAATAATCAATGCACTGTATCCTCCATTTTCTGTACTATTTTAAGGCACTGTCTATTTGTTTGGTGTGCGCTTGCTTTAGATGTTGACACAAATGGGTTATTTTGATTTAAACAACTAATCATTTTGATCCTAGCTCAAGTTGCTAGTGCAGTAGTTACTAATGTACAAGATGTTTATTTATTGATAATATTCACTGCAATATGGTATAATATTTTTTTTGGAATTTCCAAAAAAAAATAAAATTTTTTTTTTTTTTTTTTTTTTTTCTTTTTTTTTTTTTTTTACGGGAGAACCCGCAACCGCTACCCTTCGGGTGCACATTGGATAAACCCTTGGGCTGACGCAATAGCATGCAAATCGTGCCAACCAAGTAAACTACACTAGGCAAGCTTTATGCGACAGGTTCAACCAAGAAAGTGAGGGTAGGGGGAATCGAACTCGTTATCAAAGGCCTTCGCGCTCATCTATTCTACCAACTTGACCACCCCATGAGGGGCTACAAAAGTAAATTCTTATGCATGCTTTGGGTTCCTAGGACACACTTTAATTGGCCTTATAGGTACGTGATACTGGCAATATTTTAAGTAGGGCAAGGTTAACTATTCGTGGAGTTGACGTTGATGAATACGTTATGAGACATGATTACGGTATGTGGTATGCCTTAATGCTTTACCGTTGACTTGCTCAAGTCAATAACATTATCACACCTATTTGCTTTTGTGGTGCGATCCATATGTCCTTCCAACCCCATTTGATTAAAAAGGGTTTAGTAGAATGGTTGATTAGAAGAATAAAAACAAGGGAAATGCTGGACGGATAGGGATGTGGGCCCAGCGCCTCCTCCAATAGAATTGGCGCCCTGTTTGAGGCTTTGTCCAAATATCTTTATCCAAAAAACAAAGGAAATGCTGGATGGACAGGGCCATCCGGCTCCCTCTCAGACCATAATTGAATTTCTTAATACGTTGAAAGCTTTCTTTTGGTTTACATTTAATTTGCTTTTTCTCTTTGCTTCAAGGTAGCTCTGGAGCTGATAGAGCATCTTCGTGCAATGGGTGAAACTAATGCTCTATTAGAAAGTAGCAAAGCACGATTCCTTTCAGCCTTGCTCATAGTTTGAGCTTGACGAATTTTTGCTATTTCTAAGTTCTAAAAGCATCCAGTTTCAGAAGTTATTTTGTTTTTCAACTGAATTCTGATATTTCTGATCCTCTAATTCGAATACTTCATATGAAATGGGTCTGATTTTGAGAAGAGAAACGGCCCTGGCAGCTGCTGCTGCTTACGAGTCTATGTTTGCAGCAGCAGATGGCACCATCCCAGCAAATTCTGGTCTCACAACAGTC